ACACACAAAACTATCACTTACTGATCATTCTCAAATTTTAATGAAGAACAATTTCTCAATGACCTATATAAAGTTCCTTGGAAGATGATCCAAAATTTGGATGACATAGATTAACCTCTGAGGGTGTGGACTAATTTATAGATGTAGTCTCTAAGCATGCACCACTGAAAGTACATAGAGTAAGAATTAAATCCCACCTAGATGGCTTAATACAGAAATCCCTGATGAGACCACTTCAAGGCTATGGGAAACCATGCACAATATAAAGTATGGAGAAATAAAAAAACAAATGTTTTTAAAAAGCTTTAACGTTATTATCAATCATTGCTTGAAAACAAAAAGAGCAACAAAAACTGCATTTGGAAAGTCTTTAATGAACTCACTGGAGGAACACACCAAGATCAGATAAATAAAATCCACTTACTTTTGGTGAATGACACCATAGTCACTGATGACAATGATATTGCAAATGTTTTCAATGATTTTTTCATCAACATTACCACAAAGTTAAAAGAACCAGTGACTCAAAAAAACTTTAATAAACTGAAAAGGTTCTGCAGCAGCAAAATCTTGAAGGTGGTATATTTATCTATCGCACCAGTATCAAAAACCTTTGTTAAAAAATGTTTTAGTGAACTTGATACTAAGAAAGCTACAGGACTTGATCAGATTGGTCCATGACTCATTAAATCTTCTGCCTCTGCTATTGTAGATAGCCTAACATTCATAATCAATTTAAGTATTGCATCCTCATCTGTTCCCAAAATATGGAAAACTGCAAAAGTAACTCCTATTTACAAATCTGGTCTAAAGGATGATGCTGATAACTACCAGCCAATCTCAATACTACCAAACTTGTCAAAATTGATTGAAAAGCATGTCCATGATTCATTCATATCATATTTTACCAAACACTTTCTGTTATACCCTAATCAATCAGGCTTTAGACAGAAACATTCATGTGAGACTGCCTTGATTTTCCTAACTGATAAATGGCTTCAAGCACTTGACCAAGGTAGAATAAAAGGATCTGTATTTGTAGATTTCAGTAAAGCTTTTGACATGGTGGATCATGAAATCCTTTTGAAGAAACTGAAAATTTACCAATGTGATGAAAGCACAATTTGATGGTTTACTTCATACTCAAGTGAGAGAATACAACATGTTTACATAAAAAATGATCTGTCTGAACCTGGAACAATTATATATGGAGTACCACAATGTTCATTAATGACCTACCACTTGTACTAAGAGACTCAATATCATCTACAGATCTCTATGCAGATGATACAACATTGTCAGACATCCAAAACACAAACCATGACCTTGAAATTTCTTTACAGGATACCCTAAACAAACTGGACAACTGTTGCACATGCAATGGCATGGTGGTTAATACTGGTAAAACTAAAATATTACTTATCTCAACAAGGAGAAAAAGAACAAAACTTGACAGTGATGAACTACATCTGACAAGGAAGGATAAAAATTTGCAAATGGACTGTCACGATAGTCTACTTAGTGTTTTGGTAGATTATAACCTATCAGGGACTGAACGTATCAAACATATCAGTAAAAAAGTCAATTCAAGTTTATGGCTTCTCAGTAGGATAAGACACTTTCTCCCGGAAAAGCACAGAAAACTATTTTATAACAGCTACATACAACCCTATTTAGAATAATGCAATAATGTATGGGGTAATTCAAATGATAAAAACTTAGCAAAGCTGGCACATCTCCAAAAAAGTGCATTTTGAGTTAATGTCAATCCAGAAAGAAAGCAAGGAAAATTAAGCTATTAAGTTAAAAATATTACCTATTAAATACAGAATCTGTTTGAGGAAAGCCAAATTAATGTACAGGATATTCAATAATAGTGCTCCTGAATATTTACAATCACTATTCCAGTATATGCTACCCGGAAATACTCCCCACCTGGTATCCATGTCTACCAAAAATTACAAAATTTGCAAACAAAAAAAAAGGAATTTTTTTAAAAAGTTTCCAATACTCTGGAACTTTTCTCTGGAATAGTATTCCAGTCAAGATTAGAAATGCCCACTCTTTTTCCTTTTTCCAAACCTAGTAAATCCAGTGGCTTCAGAGATGCAGCTAAAATAAATTCCTTTGAATGAGGGCCTCAAGATAAATACATTTTTGGCTACTTGCCCGAGTGGCATGGCCGAGTGGTTTAAAGGGATGTTAGTTACGGATCACTGCCATCTCACCTCTGTCTGTGTAAGTTCAAGTCTAAGATTCAGCAAATGTGGATATGTGAGAAAGCTTGCCAGTAGCTTCTCGTGGGTTGGTGGTTCTTTCCACAGATTTCCTGGTTTCTTCCTCCACCATTAATACTGGCTGCCATGTACACATGTATAGCCTATTGTGTGCTGAAAAATGGCATTAAGCCCCAGAACAACAATAACAACTTAGCTAATTGTGTTACCCTCTTTAAATAAAGTGATAATAATAATAATAATAATAATAATAATAATAATAATAATAATAATAATAATAATAGTAATAATAATAATAATAAAAATAATAATAATAAAAATAATAATAATACATGGGGATTTGTTGGTAAAATCAAGGATGAATCAGATCATTTGCAGTGTTTAGATACAGGGGGATCTATCAGTAAAATCAATAATATGTAACTGACACAAGTAGATATATCTGTAATAGCAGTTAGTAGTTAAGAGTGAATTTATTAGTCATTGAAGGCAAAAGCAAATATATGCAGTGAATATATGTCAGTGGAAATGAAAGAGTTAAATTTTTTAAATTTTGTCCATCCCTCAACAAGAGAGGGAACTTATATACATATAATAACCTAGTTACTTTTAATGGTCATGTTGTGAAAATTAAACAAGCAAATTTAACAAACTTTCTGTAATTGACAAACAAGCTAAAAAGACATTCCTTTTTATCCACTAAGCTTTCAATGTCTACCAGAATGTAGACTGCCTTGTTGTATTTGCCAGGAGTTGTATAATCTATATCATGCATGCTTACCAAAAACCCATACACCAATGAAAATGGCGATGGTGACCCAAACAATGACTCCCACAATGAAGCGTAGAAGAATAATCCAGATAAAACACACAACACTAGCAATTCCAAGGCAGCTGAAATAAAAATTAAAAATGAATGTTCAGGGAAGATAATCTAGTATTTTTCCCTACTCAGATATGATTTAATAGGTACTATTAATAAACTGTATGAATCAAAAGACTTGTTACAAATCTACTGACTGGTATACGTAGAAGATGTTCGTTTTTAATTTTCATTTATTTTACTTTTTATTAAAAAGCAAGATTTTTAGTTTTCATGCATAGGACTAATTCAAACTATATTTAATATCATCATCAACTTGGAAAATGAAAGTATTGTTTCTATTATTGTACCAAATGTAAAATTTATTAAATCCTAACAAATGCTCTTTAATCAGTTATAGCAATATTTTATTACAAAAGATATTTTTAAGGGAATGAAAAAATGGGTAATAAAAAATATTGCTTGCAATGACATTGCTGTTTGAGGTTTTCTGGTTCTAATCAACTGTCTTTACAAGAAATCTTATAAAAATTAAATGGACAAAACACTTTCTCTTAGATATTCTATAACTGTACTAAAAACAAAAAATAAACGAATTCATGGAATTTCTATCCCCTGCCTGTTGTGATTAATGTATACATGTATACAATGATGAAATCTGATTCTGATCTTTGCGATAGAGCTGTAAACTTTCAGGCAGGCATGAAATACAGGTAAATAATATGATTCTGCTTTAAAAGGCATTAAAGCATAAGCACTGACAAGGAGAACATAAAAGGCGACCCAGGCCTTGAACATACTGTTATATTTATAACTGTGGTATAAGGGATGCTCATGGAGTGGGTAGAAACCTCTGGTGGGGGTAGCAGTCATACTCCACTGGGGGCAAGCTAGTCCATATTTGGTCCTTACTTGGTGCTCAACTCTCACCTGTAGCTCCAAGTAGCTGTAGCATATGCAGTGGCCACACCACGAGCAATGGCTTCAAGTGGCTGGCTAAACCAGGTTAAGGATAGCCAATGGGTCTCAAACCCTCATTGAGTTAGGGCTTGTTACCTATAGCATGTAAAGGCTGGACCCAGCAGACTGCACAGAGGAACCACCAACTGATCAATGGGCAGGTAGGCAGAACCAGAAAAAGCAATATGGAGTGCTAAGAGCATGGTAAGACATGCATCCATTCTAGCTATCTAGACTACATCTTGCCACTGGAAAAAGTGGGGCCTGGACGAGAGAGTAAGGCTGGCACAGCACAACTCTCCCACACTTTAATCTAACTCACATGCAAGTCATTTATGTCATCACCTGTGCACAAGTCTTGTGGCAAAGGGCAAGCTGTGACATGGCAGGTGTGGATGCACTGGCAGCCATAGTGGCAGACCTGCATGCAGATGACTCGGGCCATAGGGTCGTCTTCTACTGACATGAAGCAGAAATGGATTTTGGCAGTCATCTGAGCAACAAAGCAGACCTCTTTAGGATAGTGCTCCATAGCCTAAGGAAGCAGCTAGAAAAGGTACCCTAAAGAAAGCTGGCTCAAACTACCCCAACCAGCTTACCGTGGTTATTATTAGATGAGGTCATTCCTATAAAAAATAGTGCAACAGTCCATTCAAGGCTGAGTTATAGTCTTAATAAAGTAAACATCACATGACCTGATTTCAGGACATGAGTTCTTGAAAGGCCAAGCAGACCTAATTTCTGACTGGTTAATATCTGATCTTGTTTACTATATGTAATCATTAAAAAAAATATGCCTCTCATTTGTTTCTGAAACAATGACTTAGCTTTATATATAAGTTTACTGGAGAATTGGATATTCCTAGTATTGTTATTGGTCAAGGAAGATATCTGGCTCTGCTTGGGGAGATTCATTTTTTTGTTTAAATCATTCATTGGGTTTACAATGTATGATTCATTTTCAAATTATATCAGTGTGATTCATCGACTGGGGATCAAACCTACGACCTCCCGCATCCGAGGCAAATGCTCTAACCACTAGGCCACCGGAGCGGCTATACTCATTAGGAGTCAAAAGCACTCAGGCTAGTTAGTTACTAGTTTCACACTGTTTGTTGTCAGTTTATTACATCTAAGTTAATCAACCCTGACATATGTGATCCCTCGTTGGATCCAGTGCACTTGAAATGGTTGTTATTTGCCATATGATTTATATTCTATATATATATATATATATATATATATATATATATATATATATATATATATATATATATATATATATATATATATATATATATATATATATACATATATAGCTAGTAAGTATACCAATGGACAGATGGACAACTATTCTAGTATCTATACCAATCTAATATGTAAACTAATGGACATCTGGACAACTAGTATAATGTGTAAACCAATAAACAGATGGAACCCATGATACATAGTTTATGATCTTATTGACACATCTTAATGTGTAAATCAATAAACAGATGGCACCCATGATACATAGTTTATGATCTTGGGGACACATCTTAATGTGTAAACCAATAAACAGATGAAACCCATGATACATAGTTTATGACCTTTGGGACACATCTTAATGTGTAAACCAATAAACAGATGGAACCCATGATACATAGTTTATGACCTTGGGGACACATCTTAATGTGTAAACCAATAAACAGATGGAAACCATGATACATAGTTTATGACCTTAAAGACACATCTTAATGTGTAAACCAATAAACAGATGAAACCCATGATACATAGTTTATGACCTTGGGGACACATCTTAATGTGTAAACCAATAAACAGATGTAACCCATGATACATAGTTTATGACCTTGGGAAAACATCTTAATGTGTAAACCAATAAACAGATGGAACCCATGATACATAATTTATGACCTTGGGGACACATCTTAATGTGTAAACCAATAAACAGATGGAACCCATGATACATAGTTTGTGGCCTTGTGAACACATCTTAATGTGTAAACCAATAAACAGATGAAACCCATGATACATAGTTTATGACCTTGGGGACACATCTTAATGTGTAAACCAATAAACAGATGGAACCCATGATACATAATTTATGACCTTGGGGACACATCTTAATGTGTAAACCAATAAACAGATGTAACCCATAAAACATAGTTTGTGGCCTTGTGAACACATCTTAATGAGCAAACCAATAAACAGATGGAACCCATGATACATAGTTTATGACCTTTGGGACACATCTTAATGTGTAAACCAATAAACAGATGTAACCCATAATACATAGTTTGTGGCCTTGTGAACACATCTTAATGTGTAAACCAATAAACAGATGGAACCCATGATACGTAGTTTATGATCTTGTGGACATATCTTAATGTGTAAACCAATAAACAGATGGAACCCATGATACATAGTTTATGACCTTTGGGACACATCTTAATGTGTAAACCAATAAACAGATGGAACCCATGATACATAGTTTATGACCTTTGGGACACATCTTAATGTGTAAACCAATAAACAGACGGAACCCATGATACATAGTTTATGACCTTTGGGACACATCTTAATGTGTAAACCAATAAACAGATGGAACCCATGAAACATAGTTTATGATCTTGGGGACACATCTTAATGTGTAAACCAATAAACAGATGGAACCCATAATATATAGTTTATGAGCTTGGGGACACATCTTAATGTGTAAACCAATAAACAGATGGAACCCATAATACATAGTTTATGACCTTGGGGACACATCTTAATGTGTAAACCAATAAAGAGATGGAACCCATGATACATAGTTTATGACCTTGGGGACACATCTTAATGTGTAAACCAATAAACAGATGTAAACCATAATACATAGTTTGTGGCCTTGTGAACACATCTTAATGTGTAAACCAATAAACAGATGGAACCTATGATACATAGTTTATGACCTTTGGGACACATCTTAATGTGTAAACCAATAAACAGATGGAACCCATGATACATAGTTTATGACATTTGGGACACATCTTAATGTGTAAACCAATAAACAGATGGAACCCATGATACATAGTTTATGACCTTTGGGACACATCTTAATGTGTAAACCAATAAACAGATGTAACCCATAAAACATAATTTGTGGCCTTGTGAACACATCTTAATGTGTAAACCAATAAACAGATGGAACCCATGATACGTAGTTTATGATCTTGTGAACATATCTTAATGTGTAAACCAATAAACAGATGGAACCCATGATACATAGTTTATGACCTTTGGGACACATCTTAATGTGTAAACCAATAAACAGATGGAACCCATGATACATAGTTTATGACCTTGGGGACACATCTTAATGTGTAAACCAATAAACAGATGGAACCCATAATACAAAGTTTGTGGCCTTGTGAACACATCTTAATGTGTAAACGAATAAACAGATGGAACCCATGATACATAGTTTATGATCTTGTGAACATATCTTAATGTGTAAACCAATAAACTGATGGAACCCATGATACATAGTTTGTGACCTTTGGGACACATCTTAATGTGTAAACCAATAAACAGATGGAACCCATGATACATAGTTTATGACGTTTGGGACACATCTTAATGTGTAAACCAATAAACAGATGTAACCCATGATACATAGTTTATAACCTTTGGTACACATCTTAATGTGTAAACCAATAAACAGATGGAACCCATGATACATAGTTTATGACCTTTGGGACACATCTTAATGTGTAAACCAATAAACAGATGGAACCCATGACACATAGTTTATGATCTTGGGGACACATCTTAATGTGTAAACCAATAAACAGATGGAACCCATGATACATAGTTTATGACCTTTGGGACACATCTTAATGTGTAAACCAATAAACAGATGGAACCCATGATACATAGTTTATGACCTTGGGGACACATCTTAATGTGTAAACCAATAAAGAGATGGAACCCATGATACATAGTTTATGACCTTTGGGACACATCTTTATGTGTAAAACAATAAAGAGATGGAACCCATGATACATAGTTTATGACCTTGGAAACACATATTAATGTGTAAACCAATAAAGAGATGGAACCCATGATACATAGTTTATGATCTTTGGGACACATCTTAATGTGTAAACCAATAAACTCATGGAACCCATGATACATAGTTTATGATCTTGGGGACACATCTTAATGTGTAAACCAATAAACAGATGGAACCCATGATACATAGTTTATGACCTTGGGGACACATCTTAATGTGTAAACCAATAAACAGATGGAACCCATGATACATAGTTTGTGGCCTTGTGAACACATCTTAATGTGTAAACCAATAAACAGATGGAACCCATGATACATAGTTTATGACCTTGGGGACACATCTTAATGTGTAAACCAATAAACAGATGGAACCCATGATACATAGTTTGTGACCTTGGGGACACATCTTAATGTGTAAACCAATAAACAGATGTAACACATAATACATAGTTTGTGGCCTTGTGAACACATCTTAATGTGTAAACCAATAAACAGATGGAACCCATGATACATAGTTTGTGACCTTGGGGACACATCTTAATGTGTAAACCAATAAACAGATGTAACACATAATACATAGTTTGTGGCCTTGTGAACACATCTTAATGTGTAAACCAATAAACAGATGGAACCCATGATACATAGTTTGTGGCCTTGTGAACACATCTTAATGTGTAAACCAATAAACAGATGGAACCCATGATACATAGTTTATGACCTTGGGGACACATCTTAATGTGTAAACCAATAAACAGATGGAACCCATGATACATAGTTTATGACCTTTGGGACACATCTTAATGTGTAAACCAATAAACAGATGGAACCCATGATACATAGTTTATGATCTTGGGGACACATCTTAATGTGTAAACCAATAAACAGATGGAACCCATGATACATAGTTTATGATCTTGTGAACACATCTTAATGTGTAAACCAATAAACAGATGGAACCCATGATACATAGTTTGTGACCTTGGGGACACATCTTAATGTGTAAACCAATAAACAGATGTAACCCATGATACATAGTTTATGACCTTTGGGACACATCTTAATGTGTAAACCAATAAACAGATGGAACCCATGATACATAGTTTATGACCTTGGGGACACATCTTAATGTGTAAACCAATAAACAGATGGAACCCATGATACATAGTTTATGACCTTGGGGACACATCTTAATGTGTAAACCAATAAACAGATGGAACCCATGATACATAGTTTATGACCTTGGGGACACATCTTAATGTGTAAACCAATAAACAGATGGAACCCATGATACATAGTTTATGACCTTGGGGACACATCTTAATGTGTAAACCAATAAACAGATGGAACCCATGATACATAGTTTATGATCTTGTGAACACATCTTAATGTGTAAACCAATAAACAGATGGAACCCATGATACATAGTTTGTGACCTTGGGGACACATCTTAATGTGTAAACCAATAAACAGATGTAACCCATGATACATAGTTTATGACCTTTGGGACACATCTTAATGTGTAAACCAATAAACAGATGGAACCCATAATATATAGTTTATGAGCTTGGGGACACATCTTAATGTGTAAACCAATAAACAGATGGAACCCATGATACATAGTTTATGACCTTGGGGACACATCTTAATGTGTAAACCAATAAACAGATGGAACCCATGATACATAGTTTATGATCTTGGGGACACATCTTAATGTGTAAACCAATAAACAGATGGAACCCATGATACATAGTTTGTGATCTTGTGAACACATCTTAATGTGTAAACCAATAAACAGATGGAACCCATGATACATAATTTATGACCTTGGGGACACATCTTAATGTGTAAACCAATAAACAGATGTAACCCATGATACATAGTTTATGACCTTTGGGACACATCTTAATGTGTAAACCAATAAACAGATGGAACCCATGATACATAGTTTATGACCTTAGGGACACATCTTAATGTGTAAACCAATAAACAGATGGAAC